TCAAGAAGGGTCCCATGAATCACAGTTTTAGTCTGGATTGGGTGCTTTCAGAAAGTAAAGCAAGTTTATGCGTGGATATCTTCATTTTAATCTAGAAGGCAGGAAGAACAGAGTGGTCTAAAGCTGCGTTTAGTAAAGCAGCAGCAGTCACTCATGTAGGCCAGGAAACGGGGGGTGTTTGGTCATTTTTTGTGGTTTGCACAGTATTCTTGTTTCTATGCACCATCATGATCACAGAGTATCCTTATCTGTGTCTTGCTCCCTCGTGCTCAGAGTGGCCTTGTCAGATGTTGGTGTTATATCAAATTATTTATGTCCAACAGGAGAACAACATAGCCTAGCTATTAAGGCCAGGTCAACTTCCAACTGACAGCTGTCAGAGGTTGCTTTTCCTTTCTCAGTATAAACAGGGTTTTCATGTATGTAACTATTCATGAGACATATGGAAGCTATTAGTAATGCAAGACAAATTTTGATCTTGTCCTATGCTCTACAAGTGCCTGGCATCCCCAGGCTCCACCCACTAAAATAACCAGTCATTGTGTTAACCAACCCCTCCCCTCTCCAAATTACAAAAACACCCTCCCTTGGGGCTAGCGCCATGCCCACGAGAACCACTGCTCTGAATATTCTAAATCCAACCCTCCAATCACATTAAAGTAAGGATACATACTTAAGAATATATCAGCCCATGTCCGCACAGAACTATCTTACCAAGTTGTGCTTTGCATCAAAAGTTGACTTTAAAAAGCTGTCTAGATCAAAGGCTATTTATTTATTGTAGAAATGAAGCCAAGAGTGTTAGCCACCACGGCAACTGGTGTCCTCTACAGAAAGCCCCGCGAGAAGCATGTGGGAAGCACTAGATGCCTACCCAATGTCCCTTTCTTTTTTCCCTAACAAAATCCCTTTTATTCAAGACAGCAATGTGCCTACCTTAATAACCTACTGCCCCAGACTGCTTTATCACTGGGTGACACCACTTTGGCTAATGAGATGTAATAAGCAAAAGTCTCCTGTGATTTCTAAGAAAGCTTTTTTTTTTTTTGCTTTTGATACAAGGGAGCAGATGCAACAGAGTCACCATTCTTCTTTCTTCCTTAAAAACAGATGAAATTTAACAGTATAGTGGTTACCAGAGGGAAAGGGGGCAGGAGGGAGATAGAAACAGGTAAAAGAGGTCAAATATATGGTTAAGAGAAGGTTTGATTTTGGGTAGTGAAGACACAATGTAATATATAGATGTATTATAGAATTGTACACTTGAAACCTATATAACTTTATTAAACAATGTCACCCCAATAAACTTAATTTCAAAAAATAGATGAGTCATCTTCAGCTATGACCATCATCTTGTAACCCTGAGGCAATGAGCACAGGGACAAAAAACAGCTTTCTAAGGAACTGTTTAGTAACCGCCTACTTTCAGACATCCTTTATAGAAAAACACACAAACCCTTTTTTTGCTGTTATTTAAGCCACTATTATTTGTAGGGTTTTGTTACTTGCAGTTGAACAAATTACTAAGAGGAAATTAACTGTTACACAGATAACTAATGAACTAAAAATTGGAGGTTTATGTTAAGCCTTTAATATTACAACCAATTGGACAAAAAAATAGGGCTCAAACTATATATAGAGGGTGCCAAAAAAATGCATACACATTTTAAGAAAGGAAAAAACTGTACTAAAATTATGCTGATGGTAACCACTTTGAGCACCTCTTGTAATTGCAGAAGTCAAATGTGACTTGTATTGGGTTGTCGGAAAAGTCATGACATATTTTTTTCTATGTTTTTCATTGCAAAAAATGCATCATGAGTTTTCCGACAACCCAGTATTTATCTTTTGTTATCAGTATATATTGAGTATTACAATTTTAACAGTTTTTTTCCTGTCTTAAAATGTGTATACATTTTTTTGGCACCCTCTGTATATTGGGCAGGGGGTGCTGAGTTAAATCTTAATTTTTCATAGCAGGAAGTCAATGGGTAATTATAAAGTTGGTAAGTCAAGAGACAGTGTAAGCACAATTAAGCATATTATTTACAGGTATGGAAGAAAATATCCCAAAATAAAAAAACTAAGCAGTTGAAAAATGTTTGCTTCTGGGGATAACTCAGGGTGTGATAAGACTTGCATTTCTTTGTAGCCCTTCTGTACTACTGATTTTCTGACCTTGAGTGCTTTATTTCTTTAAAATTAATTGTAGTGAGGGAAAAAGTTATACTGGGGTGCCAAAAAAACGTATACAAGTGGACACTTTGGTCAACGCTGCTCCAGCAGTAGTTCGCCATAATCAGAAGTGTCTAGATGCTGATGGTAACCACTTTGAGCACCTCTTGTAATTGCAATAGTCAAACGCGACTTGTATGCATCTTTTGTTATTGGTATATATTGAGTATTACAATTTTAATAGTTTTCCTTTCTTAAAATATGTATACATTTTAATGGCATCCTCTGTAAATGAGATTGTATTTCTTCTTGGCACTAAATTATAATTTCTTTAGGAAATATGTTTCTTCCTTTCTTCTTTAGAATAATATAAAGGTTTTAAGGCGTTTTCCTGCTTCTTACAAGAATTAGATAGTCTTTTGATTTTATTTTTAATTGAAAAGCATACTTAATTACTTAACATATATTTGAGACTGTGTTCTTCAAAACCAGGAACAGACTTTGGTTTCACTTTTCCTAGCAGTGGTTTGCAAACAGTGGCTTAGGAGGCCCACTGGAAATTGGTAGGGCTGAGAGGGTGATTCCAGACCCTCCAATCTTGTTTCCACTAGAGCACCTCTGCTTTCTTTTATAGATATTAAGTTTTTGGGTTTTTTTAACATTTTATTGGGGAATTGGGATATTAAGTTTTGACACAAGACTTAGAAGAAAGTTCCACTAGTATGAAAAATCACTTCACTGTGGCAAAAGTTAGCACAGCTGAATATGTATTTACTGAATTATTATATATCTTAAATACTATACTAATGGAAAGGATTATGGAGGATGCTAAAAATATATTGTACTGACAAGAATTCAGTTAGGCTATAGCAACAGAAAAGCCAAAACAATAACACTGAAACAAGACAGAAGTTTGTTTCTCACTTAAAAATTTAGATAGGCAATTCAAGGCTGCTGTCCCCATGAGAGGGAACGCAATCTCTACCTTACTTCTCTGCTATTCACAAAATGAGGCTTCTGCCCCATTTCAAGATGGCTGGCCCAAGCTCCATCTATGGTGTCTACATTTCAGCTAGCAGGAAGGTTAAAAGGGAAGGGGATGGGTATGCTCCTCCTTTTAGGAATACTTCCTAACGTGTACCCACTGGCCAGAACTCAGTCACATGGCCACACCAAGATGCAGCAAGAAAATCTGGAAAAAGCTGTTTTTGTTGCCGTGTCCCAACTAATAAGTGGGAAACACATAGAAGATAAAGATGGAAAGTAAGCGGTAAATCCTGCCACACACACACGGATACTCCAAAATTCAATTCATATCTGGCTTTTATGACTGCAGGTTCAAATAACATAGTTATATCAAAACCTGTACCAATGTGTATAGGGAACCCTGTTAGACTCTCAACTCTAAAGATTTAGGTTAGATCTTTCAAATTAAATAACATGTATTTATGCAGCATCAACTTTCCTCACTAGATAAGCATAAGTAAAATGGCAAACAAGCACCTATTAACGACTTAATAAATTAATACTTCTTAAGAAAGGAAAAGACGTTAGACGCAAATATATGTTTAAAAACAGTAAACTACCGTATTTGCCGGCGTATAAGACGACTGGGAGTATAAGACGACCCCCTAACATTTCCACTCAAAATACAGAGTTTGTTATATACTCGCCGTATAAGACTACCCCCTCTTCCGCACACCTTCCACACACCAAATAAAAGGTAAAACAATATCAGATTTGATTTGGCCCACTGAAGTGCAAACAAGCGTATTGTATTTCGTGTCACCACATAACCGTTTTGGCGATGTTGAGCCACCATGTCTGCTACACGTTTTTCGAGTTCTGGCCAGTGTGGGGTGCCTCTTCTTAATGCACACTTACCCCTTGGCATACTCTTTAATGCTTTCTCATTTGATTTCCAGTCCTGAACCATCTTTTCTGTTACTCCATATTGTCTTGCAGCAGCACAATTATTATTTTCCTTAGCAAAGTTTATAACTTTCAGTTTAAAATTAGCATCATACTTCTTTCTTTTGGCTGGTGCCATGATAGGGATGATAGGGGTTTGACTGGTCGACATTTTCTATGCTGTACTGTACAATGGTGCAGTATTGTGGTTGGCTGTTGGCTGTATACAAAGCCTGATTTGATTGGTCCCTGCTCCCTGTTTGTCCGCCCTGTCACTATAGCAGTCTGGTCCACCCTTGCATCAGCATCTCCCTGGGACCTCACTAGTGCGCAAGTGCGAGCTCTTCAACATTCTAACAGGCACCATGATAGCGCAAAATCGCGAATCTTCAATGCATATGTAAAGAAATATACGGTAACCCGAATTTATCACACTCGCAAAACCGCACACAGCCGACCATACACCCAGTATGGTATCACAATTCGCGATTTTGCGCTATCATACTGGGTGTATGGTCGGCTATGTGCGATTTTGCGAGTGTGGTAAAATCGCATAACAGCAAAATCGCATAACAGCTGAGCATACACCCAGCAGCGCTGCTGATGCCTGAACGGTATGTGGAATGAAGTGGGCGGGCATCGGGAGGCCACTATGGCACGGGGCAAGCACTATGGGCAGTCTATCTGAAGTGTACCTGGCGTATAAGACGACCCCCCACTTGGAGGCATATTTTTCAGGACCAAAAAATCGTCTTATACGCCGGCAAATACGGTATCCTGATGGGTCTTCCAGTAACCTATATTTCTTTGGGCAAGTTACTTAATAGCCTGAAGCTCCGTTTCATCACCTGTAAACAGGCATCACACAAAACAGATACGTCGTGAGGATCAAATGAGATTACACATGTCAAAAGTGCTTTGTAAACAATAGAGTTTTATACAAATATAAAGTTATGTACCTTCAAAGCTATCATTCCAATGACACTTATTCAATTAAACAAAACATCTTTTAAAAATTTTTAGCAATGTATATATACATTCACAAAATAATCTGTTGATTGAGACTCCAACAAAGTTTACAGTATACCTACAACAGAATTTACAGATGTCTATAATAGTTTGTAATTATTACATATGTTGCCTTTTAAGAAATACCATTAATATAAAGGCATGACTTACAATACCCCCATTACAACAAGGAAAAAAATAGATTCATAAAATGAAATGTCTCTTAGGCATTTATTATGCCAAGTATTAAAGTGATTATTCTCATTTAGACATAAGAATAATACTCCTTCCGGGATAAAAGATAAGATTTCATTAGGCCAACAGCCACTAATGCTCTTCTACGAAGTTCCCAAGCAAATCCGGCTACACTTTCCAAAAAATAAATAGAACAGCAGCAATCTCTAGGTATCCCTTAAACATAAGCTATGAAAATCCATTTATATTAATTGAACCTTAAATACATGACTTGTTACAAATAAAAATAAACAAAATTTTAGAAACTAGTTCACCCTCTGACCCAATTTGGTTTTTACCTGCCTCTGAATGCCAGGAATAAGGAGTTTCATCATAACGTATATATTGATATTAAGTTGTAAAATTAACAATTATTTCTAACTTACACATAAGCCAAAGTGCTCACTGTTACCAGGGAAGCAAAACTTTCTTCTGAAAATAATTTACAGAAATAATATGTAAACACAGTTTTGAGACAGTTTAAGAACATCCTTCTATGTTCTATGGATCAAAACAAAGGTCTCCATTCCATGTGTACATGAACACAAACTCTTTCATTAATTTGGGATATATGGATACTACATGACTGTGCACACACATATGTACCCACGAACCAAATTTTGACAATGTTTCTAGCAACACCATACTTTCAAGCCCCAAATGCTAAAAAGAAAATAAAAACTTATGAAAATTACTACTTTCTAGTTTTCTTAAGTAAATTTTAATATGGAAAAACAAACCCAACACTCCTCTCTGCAACATGTACTAAGTTCTAGAAGGTTCACAGTCAAGAATCTCTTCAGTTGTTCCCCAATGTAACAGAACACAGAGGCTTTCACTCTCTCTTCAGGAAGTCTGATCATCCCCAGTGTTCTGCAAAAGAGTAAGAACTCCTTAATATGAAAAGCTATTTTACTTAACATACCAAACTTCAAAGCATTGGACAACATTCAGCCTGACACTACATTAACTTACATTCAATGGCCCAATTATGTTAAAAATTACGAACATACTGGAGAAGTAAATCAGTGGACCCGCCCAAACATCCAGCTAGCCAGTCTCATTTTAGCAGAGATTCACCAGGTGCCACGTAAGTCTAATCCTATCCATGCTGTCAGGCTCAACATTCAACTTCACCTGTATTCAGTGTCCCTCCCCACTTCAGAAACACTGAAAAGCCTAAGGACAAACCTATTAAGCACACACATGACAACTACCATAAGGTGGATCGCAGCAAAACCCTCAGTCAGGAGCAGAATCATATCCCTAGAAGAATACTTGTTTTGTCTACTTTTTATCTTTTATACATGGAAAAATGTATAGCAGAATGAAAAGAACAATGACTTTCAAGAGGAGAGCTGAGTTAAACCCTAGTTTTGTACCGCTTATTAGCTGTATCTCCTTGAGCAGTCACTTTATCTCTCAGGGCATTAGTTATCTAAATGCAGTACTTGGAAAAGCAGCATCAGCACCCCCTGTGCTGACATGAGACACCCACCCCAGACCAAGTGAACAGGGACTGTGGGAGTGGGACCTAGCAATCTGTGTTTTAGCCCTCAAGGTGATTCTGAAGCACGTTCAAGTTTGAGAACCACCATCCAGTACAATAGTACTTGCCCAACCTACTGCACAAAAACAAAGACCTAATCAATTTTCCCAAGATTTCACCAATAACTATTTGCCTATGAATATTACTTATCCCACTGGAAACCCTGATTCAAATCTTCATATTGGGGAACTGTAGTAAAACCTGTATGTTCTTAAAACAAAAATCTGAGTAATTTTAAATAATCTTTAATTATACAGTCTTATTTTGATTCTACTTGTCCTTACTATAAACCCTAAAACCATACAATCATTCTTCACAACTGTTAGAGCCCCAGAATTAATGGAAAGCAAGTAAACTTAAGGTAAATTTAAAAAAATAAGTTGTAATCAATGATAATTTATCTCTCTGGTTTTAAAATAATTTCAGGACACTGACAATACATTTTTAGAATGTCCTAAAAGCCTCCAAAAAGTAACTAAAATAACTTTATCATCATCATCTCATACCTAAATAAGTATGTGCCTTAATAAACTTTTTTTTAAGTACTTCATAAAAATTAAATTCTACATGAGTTAGTAATCATTGCATTAGTCACTGACCACATCAAAATTACTCTCACATCCAGAAAACACTTACTTGTCTTAAAAACTGCTTTCCAAGATAAGATGTAGCCATGCTGGTTAAATTCTTTCTGCTGCCCACTTTGCACCTGACATAGCCATATAGGTTGGCACCTTGTAGCACCACACCCATGGTAACCACTGCCTGGGAAAGAGAAAAATAATCAATGATTACTGACGTCAAATCAACTGACCTTTCTCAATGCCATAAATGAGACGAGGCCGACTTGCATAGGAAAGAGAAGGAAAAGGACACTCTGCAAAGCAGGGTGTGCCAATAAGACTCCCTCACTTGCCAGGATGGACCTATCCAACATATGTTCTGCATAAGGTACTATATCACCCACCTGACAAATATTTACTGAGCACATATGCTACTGGGTTGTCGGAAAAGTCATGACATATTTTTACTCTGTTTTTCGTTGCAAAAATGCGTCATGACTTTTCCGACAACCCAATATATGCCAGGCACCATGCTAGCTCCTGGGGATGCAGTCGGAGGATCATTCTCTTTAATATTTTCCATGGGTCTGTGAGTAAGGGCAGAAAAAAAGTAAAAGAGACTCAGAAGAGGCTCAAATGTTAATTATTCCTTTAGGAATTACAAAAGAATGGTCAAGAAATAGATGAAGTTCAATAAACTGAGAGCGAGCAGTGGTGAATCTCTGCTCTATGCTAACGTGTGTCAACAGGCTTCTGAGAAAGCAAATCTCAGGCAGCAGTCAACAAGTGCAGGGATGGGGCACTAGGAGGAAATGCACCCTGGCAGAGCGGTTTCTTCCTTGTGGCCATGTCAGGGATCCTATAGGGGACCCCACTAAGACCATTAAGGACTGAGAATAAGAAACTCCAGCCTACTCTTTAAATATTACGGAAATAAAGTTACTTAAGACAACGCGAGGGGATCCCATCTACAACACAGGTTGGCAAAGTTTTTCTGTAAAGGGCCGGACAACAAACATTTTAGGTTTTGTGGGCCATATGAGACCCTATGGTCTCTACTGCAAATACTCAATTCTGCCATTCTAACCCAAAAGCAGACACAGACAATATGTAAATGAATAGGCAGGGCTGTGTTCCAATAAAAATTTACAAAAACAGGTGTTGGGCTGGATCTGACCTACAGGCCATAGTTTGTCAACCAGTTCTTGAAAAAAGAACTCATCTACCATTAAAAGAATTACCAGAGAAACGTTTACATCTGTAAAAAGCTAGACAGCTAAACAGAATGATCTTTTTCCAATCCAGATTTACTCTCCTTAACAAGTTGTACAGCTTATTCTAAGTGAGAGAATTTAAATGTTTAACTAAGGAACAGGTTCAAATCCCAATAAAGGAAGTGGAATTGTACTTTCTGTTCTAAACGTATGTTTCACAGAAATAAACATATTATAATTATATAAGGTTGCTAGTTACCTAAATAAACAGAAAACTATGTCTTTATTTAAATAAATTTCCTTCCACTTCCCACGCACTCCTGGGTATGCATGCACCAACAGGCCAGGCCCAGCTGAGTGCAGACTTAGCATCAATGTTATTCAATGGCAACAAACTGTAAAATGGATTTTTTTATAAGTTAAAACAAGCAGCCTTCTGATTTACAATGCTGTAGTGAAGCTATGCATCAAGACCCCCCCACCCCCTAACATATAAATAGCAAACAGAGTTAAAATTTTTTTTAAAAGGCAAATAAGCTGGTACCAATAAATATAAAAAAAGGACTGGTCATCTGAGAAAGAGCCAGCTGGTGTCACTCTGCACGGCTCCTAACTCTCCAAAGAAGCTCTCAGGAAATTTTCACTAATAATCACCATCCCTAACAACTCAGAAGGCCAGCGGATATAGACAGCCCTAAGAAAAAATGCAGAAACAGGCATGAGAGCAGAACCCCCCTCCCCAGTCCAATAAAGACCAACAGAGGCAGCTTGCCATGGCAATGCCTTCCTGACGGGGTAGGAGGAAAGCAAGCACACCCAACCATCAAGCTGATGACAGTGGGAGAACACAGGGTAAGAAGAGACTCATGGAGAGCCTGAGTAATGCCATCTTCCCACCCTGTGGTCTTAACACAGGAGCCCTTTCACATAACCTTCCCTGCTGTTTCAGGGAAGAGGAAGCATTGCTAAAGAAAGACGGCTGATTCTCCCAGATGGTCAAGGGTCAACTGCATAATCTACAAAAATCCAGAGGTAGAAGCCGGGAGGAAAGGTGGGAGAAAGCATGAGTGTTGACTTTACCATCTTTCATAGCAGGAAACCAAGAGATATTAAATACATTTCCTAATGCATGAACCAGGGTATGATACAAACATGTAATAAAGATAACTACTAGAAAAACTAGACTATATACCTTCCAAATCACAAAAGGAAAAGTATTTATGTGTGTGTACATACCAAGAAAAAAGAGAACCTATATAGCAAAACAGAGGTAAGGAAGTTATTTAAAATAGGGGAAAAAAGAATAATTATTAAGGCCAAAATATATCTGAAATCAATAGTTAAGTAAGACAAACTCAACTATTAATAGAATAAGACTCGGGCCGGCCGAGAGGCGCGATGGTTAAGAGCTGGCTTGGGACTCCAGAGGGCCCCAGTTCGGATCCCACATATGAGGGCCAGTGACATTGCCCTCCACAGCTAACATGCTGAACAACAGCTCAACCTGGAGCTGGGCTGCCGTGAGTCGCCGGCGACGGTGTAGGCTGCAGCCCCTGTGGCAGTGGGTTGCCATGGGCTACCGTGTGTAGCCAGCAGCTACCGTGTGTAGCCAGCAGCCAGCGTGAGCGGCCAGCAGCCACAGTGAGTGGCCGTCTAGAAGCCGGCGACTGATCTGCCTCGCCCGGGAAGAGCGCAATGATGGTGCCAGCTTGGGCCAGTGAAGCAACGTCTTCCACAGCTAGACTGAAGAACAAAAGGACAGCAACTTGTCTGTTCCCCTTCCCCCAATTCCCCAGCACTGTTCCCATCCCCCCAATTCCCCAATAAAAATCTTAAAAAAGAATAAGACTCCCAGTTTGGGTCAAGTGACAGATTATATTTTTCAAAGATGGTAGCAACAATATCTCCTGTTTCACATGTTCTTCTAAAACTTTCTTACTCACCATCCCCCACAATCAAGGTGTAGAACCTAATTCCCATTCCCTTGAATGTGGACAGGGCGACAAAGTGATGCAGTGACTTCTGAGGCTAGGTTGTTATTATGAGTTGAACTGTGTCCCCCAAAAGTTCATATGTTGAAGTCCTAACCCCAGTATCCCAGAATGTGACTGCATTTAGAGATGGAGTTTTTAAGGAGGTAATTAAAATAAAATGAGGTCACTAGGGTGGCCCTTAATCCAATATGAATGATGTCCTTATAAGGCAAGGAAATTAGGACACACACATCTACAGAGGGAAGACCATGTGAAGACACAGGATGAAAATGACCATCCGCAAGCCAAGGAGCGAGGCCTCAGAAGAAACCAACCCTGCCAGCACCTTGATCTGAGACTTCCAGGCTCCAGAATTGTGAGAGAATAAATTTCTGTTGTTTATACCACCCGGTCTGAGGTACTTTGTTAAGGTAGCCTGAGCAAACTAATACAGTTGTAAACGGTAATTCAGATTGTGAGCTGGAGTTGTGACCTCCCCAAGTAAGCAGTCTAACAGCCCTGAGGCCACCAGGTTAGCAGGAAGCCCAAACTAGCCATGTGTTGAGGCCATGTGGTAGGCCATGGGACCTCAGAGAGAGAGGAGATGCCTTACCAGCCCCCAGCCAGTCACTCCAGCCACTGTGGCAGTTGTCTGACTGCAACTACGTAAGTCCCAGGTCAGAACCTCCACACAAACCCTGTCCAAGCTCCTGAACCAGCGAAGCTGTGAGAGGTCATAAAATGACTGTTGCTATTTTAAGCCACTAAGTTTTGAGAAGATTTACTACATAAGCAACGGACAGACAGAACAGGTTACCAACCAGTATTTTCAAAAAGACCACTCTGTTAGTTACAAACTAAGCTAAACTTGTTTGGAGTTTACTGAACATCCCCATCCAACAAGACAATAAAGTGATAAATTAGGTAATCTCTGTACAAGGTGGGCGAAGTCAAAATTCTGCTAGGTGCTTGGGGAACTGGTGAAATGGGGTCTTAACAGGACTTTGCTTGCCAGTCCTTATAAGGGAGAGTTGGGAAACCAAATCAAACTTGGGAAATACATAATGAAGCTGCCTATTCAAGATAAGTCTCTAATGTTGACACAGATGGCTGCTTATTATGATTATCCATTAGACATCTTAATGGATTACTCGGTCGCTTCACACTTATACTCACCAACCACTTCACTCTGAAGGAGAAGAGCGCACTGAAGGCAAAGATGACCCACAGCGCCGGACAGGCGACAAGTCCTAACCAAAAGATTCTTGATTCGGCCTCTGAAACAGTATTATTCTCTTGAGGGGGTGCCTACAAAAAAAACATGAATTTAATAACTAATGTTTCATAAGATTTATCAGTAAAAAGTTTAGCATTTTTAATGAAAAACACCTTACCCTCAATTCAAATGAATTAATACAGACAACACAAGTCCGAAGTTAGAACCCTCGCCTCCCTAAAAAAGTTAGTAGAATCTACCACTACTGTAATTTTAGAAACTGGTTTTAATATACTTTGTTTCAAATAAAGAATTTCGCATTTTCAGGGCAGAGTGGACAGTGTAAGGGTGATCTCTGACCAGCTTCTATTCAATTCTTCTTGCACTTACACTGTTTATTCATAAGGAAACTCTGAATGGTACCTCCTAGGTGGGGATCAAGGAAATCAATGCCATAGTCATCCTAAAAAGTCAAGTCAAAGTCCAGAGAAAGGAATGGAAATAAGGGATTCTGGACAATGACTTAGAAAAACCGAGGAATTTAAAAGGATGGTGAGTTGTTTCCAAGGCATATTTGATAAAGAAATATGGGCTCACTGAGCATAATGCTGCTTTCTTAGAAGTACTCATCAAGGCCCTTCCAAGCAGAAGGCAAGCAATTTCATCAGTACTGTCTCCAAAAATTTTGTGTTCTGCCTCCCAAACGGTTTTTCACAGGGAAACTGCATGTTCACTACAGATAAGCAGCTAATCCCAAACAGACCAGGGCTGCCTAGGGCTCCTGAAGGCATAATTTAAAAATAGACTGCTCCGATCAATTCAGATGTTCTATCCAGTTGCAATCCTTCTATTTCTTTTTCCTGCTCCTGAATGGAAAAGGACCATGGGAGCAAGGACAGAACAAGCTATTGGAAGCAGTCATACCAGGCCAGGTAACATAAGGCTGAGGGTCATCAGAAAGAGATCCTTTATCAGCTGCCCCTCATAAGCAACTTAGCACACTGTATAAACTCTGACCAAAGTCCACTCTCTGAGGATTCTTTCCTGTTCATACCTTGTTTCTGGTCTGAACTAGCCAAAAAAATATAGGAAGTTTAAGAAGGCCATCTGGTTTAGTGTTGACATGCCCAGTGACTTGGGGTAGTCCTTTTTAATCATGAATACTTCATCCTTAAATATTCAAATGTAATCTACACATAATTTATTGAATGACACTCAAAAAAAAAAAAAAGGGGGGGGGAGTAGGGGCAGTTTACCTTCCTGGATTCAAACACCCAATGGCTTTTTCCATCTTCATCAATATGATTCCACCAACGTAGGCCAACCATTAGTCTACCTGTGACATTCTGGTAAACATCAATACACACACACATTTTAAAAACATTAGTTAAAGACCTACCATAAGGTCATAGTATAACATTTCACAAACAGAACAGCATCAGCTTAACATCCATAATATTCAGTTAAAGACCTATTACATACTAGGTATGGACAAAAGATCAAACAAAATGGCAATGGCAGGAGGTGGAGATGACAGGGTAAGCATATCCATAAACATTTCCCTTCTCTTTTCCCTCAGGAACTCTTGTCCTTTCTCCAGTTCCCTAATGTGTTCCTAAGCCCCCTGCTATTTAGCTACTGTGACCCACTTTTTCTATATATATCCTGACTATAGCTACATATATTTTACAACTATGTATCAATAAAAATGGTTGTTACGGACTGAATGTATGTGTCTCCCCAAAAATTTATATGTTGAAATCCTACACGCCACCATGTGCTATTAGGAGAGGGGTCCTTTGGGAGGGAATTAGGATTAGATGAGGTAATGCAACTGAAGCCCTCATGAATGGGATCAGTGCCCTTACAAGAGGCAAGAGAGAGCTTTCTTTCAGCCTCTCTCTGCTTCCACCATGTGAAGATAAAAGGGGGGCTGGCAGTCTGGAACCTGGAAGGGTCCTCACCAGAAGCCAACCACACTGGGACCCTGATCTTAGATTTCCAGCCTCCAGAAATTGGGAAATAAATTCCTGTAGTTTGTAAGCTTCCAGCCTATAGTATTCTGTTACAGCAGCCCAAACTGTCTAAGACAATGGTTAGAGGTACTGGCCTTCACTTAGTACCTCAAATGTACCAAGTTCTTTTCCTCTTACTAACATAACAAATTACTTTGATAGCTTTCCTGATGTTCATTTACTCAACAAGTACTTACTGAGCATTCTACTATGTGCTGGTAATAAAATGGTGATAGCAGATACATTCCCTGTTCTCAAGGAGCTGCAAGTGTTGTAAGGAAGTGGCAGTCAACCAACGGGAGTGTGTACTACTACCAACCATGATAAGTACTGTGAGGGGGAAGTGCGGGCACCTTGGGAGTCTAACAGGAAAATACGATCTAGTCAGGAACCAGAAAATGTCTCCCCGAGGAATCGACATAGGGAATGAAATTTAAAGGATTAAGTCGGACTCGATAACGCAGGGGATTTTTAATTAGTGGTGTCACTAATAGATTCAGGGGTTCTGTGAATTTGGATGGGGAAAAAAATCATCTTTATTTTCACTAACTTCTGGCTAAATATCTCTAAATTATGAATGCAGACAATTAACCACAGTAGAAATAACAGTACCTGTGAATCTGTCATAATAAAAACCACAGATATTTTTCATAATGTATTATACTTGTTGCAGATATCACAAAATATTGTTTATGCTCATCAATGCTTTCAAAGTAATTAGACCTACTGCTAGATCTTGCTATTTAATGCAATAATAAAGTACATATCACTAAATCAGTAATTTGCCTTTTTAATGTTTTCATTATATTTTAATATGTGACCTCCTCTGTAATCTTATGTATTTTCTTTTATGTATTTAAAACATTACTGTCAGCTTCATGAACCTGTGAAAGGAGTCCATGGCACAAAAAAGAATCCCTGTGTTAAGGTTATATGCAAATGAGAACATTCTAGGTAGAAAAGTAGACATGGAAGCCCTAAGGAAGACAGTAAAATCTATGAATTTATGGGACTCTATGATTAACTGGATATGGGAGAGGAAGAAAGCAACTCATGTATTTTTGGTTTGCTCAAGTAAAAAAATAGACCCTGGAAAGGAAACAATGATAGAAGAGCAGCATTCTGGGGCCAAAAGATGATAAGGAATATTTTACACATGTTGAATTTGAGATGCCTTCAAGACAGCCATGTAAAAACGTCAAGAAGACAGATAGATAGGCCTGGAGCTGTGAGGACAAACCTGGACTGGAGACAGAGATCTGGGAATCAGCCTGGCTTAAAGATAAGCAACTGAAATCAGAAGCACAGATGACACTGCTTAGAAAAGGAATACAGGAGAAGGAGGAGCCTTCACAAATTCATTTTGTCGAAATGTTAACATTTAAAGGCTAAGTAAAGAAGAAGAGCTGGCAAAGACCGAGACGAGCCAGAGGTCTATTTTACTGGCATTTTCAAATAACAGCTCTTAGAATATTTCAAACGCCTCCATTTTGCCATTTTCCAATTCTTTACTTTCTGCTTTTATCAATATTAGTTTATTTTCCTAATTTCTCTCAAGTTTACTGTTTTTGTTTTTGAAACTTCTAGACCTCTAATAATAAAAGCCTTTAGTCTAATGTTTGTCCTCTGAATTCAGCTTTAGACACATTCCAAAAGTTTGGGTGTAGAGGATCAGTGTCATTAGGTATAAATAACCCAATATTTACAGTTTTTGTTTCCTTTTTAAGACAAAATATTTACCAAGTTGGCTTTTTTTTAATTTCAACTTTGACAACCATTTATTAATTTCTAATTTTGTTTCACTGGACTAGAAAATGTAGCTGCTTTAAGCAATTTATTTTGCTTTTCTTCGGAGTGATATTTAATCAATTTTTGTTAAATGTTGCACAGGAACTTAACAAGAAGGTATTCAATTATCCCTAGACACAGAAAGTTCCAAATACAGCTACTAAAGTGACCTTGTTATGTCATTCAGATCCTTTAGACCTTATTTTTTGTTGCTTTGATCTGTCAAAGACAGTGGCTTGTTAACTCGTATCACAATAATGTTCCCTCTATCTTCTCCTAGTGTCTCTAACAGTTTTTCACCACACAGTTTGATTAATGTCATTCTGTGAATGAGCCTCACTTTGATTCATAAGATGACCTTTTTTATTCACTGAGTGCTCTTACTCTCATTTCTATTTTGTCTAATAATGATAATACAATGCCAAGTTTCTTTTTGTGTGAAAGAAACTGATGCTATCTTTGCCTTTTTGTACTTTTTTTAACGTCACGATTTTAGTTAGAACTTTTTGGTTGGACTTTTGATTTTTGACCTTAGAATTCTTATCTTTAAAGAAACTTGAATCAAATTACACTTACTGTTATAACCAATTTGCTTCTACTTCCATCACCTTGTACTATGCCTTGTGATATTTAAACTTCCTTGACACATGCTTTGTTTCCTTCTCTTACTATATAAACTATGTTTTAGTTCCTCCTATCTTCTTCAGTGTTGTGCAAGACACACACAACTTATTTTAAATTTTACTCACAGTTACCATTCAAGTTTTAAAACCATTATTTAACCTTTTTTTACTCTACTTGTCAGAGTAAGGAATAAAACAAAAGCCTCATTTTTAAATTTTTAAAAATAATTTTATCTTTTTATTTCTTTTATTTTTTAAATAATTGTAATCTCATCTCTTGAAAACTGCACTGAGATTTATAATACTTATGACACACCTCTGTTCTCACTAGGTTGGGAACACTGCCTACCCCCTTTTCCAAGGTCATTTAATAATTTCCCCATCTTGGCTTTTTAATTTTGCTTCCCATCTCATGAGTTTAACTATCTGTAAGTAATTTTGCCACAGTTAAAAGGGTGATATTTTTTAAACTGTTGTTAAAAAAAAAAAACACAGCTTATCAGAAGATATATATTTTTGGCCACATTTTTTAAAACTCTAAACCCAGAAGGATTTCATTATTTAATTATAAGAGTTTGGAAATTACCAAGAAGAATTGAAGGCTGTGTTCTATCTGGCTAAACAGGAATTACATTAACAACAAAAAGAAAACACTCCTCATAACAAAACTGTAAACACTTTTGATACGGTAAACACTTTAGAGCATAATAAAGGAACAGAAGAAAATCAAAGAAAAACAAGGCGAAGAAGACTGTACAAAATAAAAGCCTAAAGAAAACAGACCTTTGTAACCTTCACTCTCTCAGCATTTTGTGGCCTACGGAAACTGACCACCACCAAGCCAACCACTTCTGCTATCTGTAAGAATCAAAAGATCTAAACATGGCTGGGTTGGTGGGTTGAATACACTTGTAACATCTTACTTAACTGGTCTTTCAATCGATGTGTCTCTGAAATTCCAAAATTCGCTTTCGCTTTTTTTTTTTTTTTGCCTTTTGATTTTTTTTCCCCAGATTTTACTATGAAAATGTCCAAAGAGGAGTCAAGTTTTACAGTGAACAACTATATACCCACCACCTAGAGTCTACAGTTAACATTTTGATATAGTCACTTTATCACATGTCCACCTATCTGTGTACCTATCTCTCTATCTATTCATCTCTCCACTCATCATTGTCTTTGAATTTGAAACAATTTCTTACACTCCTTTTTATCCCCTACAAAAGGGTTTCTCAACCTCAGCACTACTGACTTTTTGGGCTAGACTATTCTTTTTTTTTTTTTTTTTTAAATTTTTTATTGGGGAATTGGGGGGATGGGAACAGTGCTGGGGAATTGGGGGAAGGGGAACAGACAAGTTGCTGTCCTTTTGTTTTTCAGTCTAGTTGTGGAGGATGTTGCTTCACTGGCCCATGTTGGTATTATCATTGCACTCTTCCCAGCTGAGGCAGATCGGTTGCTGGCCTCTGGACGGCCGCTCACAGCAGCACTTGGCAGCTCACGCCAGCTGCGGCCTCTCATACTGGCTGCCGGCCACACACGGTAGCTTGTGGCAGCCCACTGCAGCAGGGGCTGCAGCCTACGCCATCGCCAGCGACTCACAGCAGCCCAGCTCCAGGTCGAGCTGTTGTTCACCATCTTAGCTGTAGAGGGCAGTGTCACTGGCCCTCATATGTGGGATCTGAACCGGGGCCCTCTGGCGTCCCAAGCCAGCTCTTAACCAACACGCCACTCGGCCGGCCCTGGGATAGATTATTCTTTGTTGTAGGGGCTGTCTTATCTGTGCATCACAAGATGTTTAGCAACATCCCTGGCCTCTACCCAACAGAAGCCAATAGCACACTTTCCCCACCCTAGCAATGATAACCAAAAATGTCTACAGACATTGACAAATGTTCCCTGGGGGGCAAAATTGGCCCTGGTTGAGAGATATTGCCCTGGCGTTCACATAGGAGCCTTCTCAAGTGGTGGGTACTTCTTAAGTATTTGTGAACAAACTGTCTTGGGGTCTTATCTAGAAATACACAACACAACTGGAGGTGACGCTGAAGCAAAACCAGAGGTATGGAATTAGAAGCAGTACGTAGAGTCTGTAGCTGCTAGTCACATTTTATTTGTTTAATTTTAAAGCTGATGTAGGGTGACATAAGGCACAGACAAGTGAGTAGTATAATAATCTATATGTGATTTGATATACTTGGCACTTTAACCCAGATGAGGCCTAAGGTAACAAAAAAATAAATTAGCGCCAATCCAAAATGCTAAGTGTCATTTTGTTTACTGTTTAATACATCATTCACTCTCATATTAAATATGATTTCAAAACATAAACAATCAAACCTACCTTGACTGCCCAAAAGTCACATGACAACAACAAGATAATTGTCACCATACAGGCAATAAAGCTGGTGCTGAACAATTCACAGAGAAGATAGACTACAATTGCACTGACTCGAAAGAATAAATGGAAAAATGATGCCACTGGGTGTCTGAAAACCAAAACATAACAAAAGAAATGCAATTATATTTTACACAGGTACTACAGATGTAGATGAAAAATGCTTTAGCCATAGCATAACCATGCAGTTTGGTCAAAATAAAGGAGATGAGTAAGAAGCAAACCGCCTACCTCTCTTTTTTCATAAGTCCCATTATTTGACTGGGCCCAGCTGTCACAGTAAATACACTATGTAAACATGACTTTAACACCTCATTGAATATAAACTTTCACAAAATATGAGGTGTGATCAAATAATACGCTGCGTGTTTAAAAAATTGGCTTCAATAAAAAAAGATTATTCCAGTAAAAGACATACTGCCATTAATCCCCCGCAAAATACTTCCCCTCGCTTTAAACACACTTATCCCTTCGTACTTGCCCCTTTCCGAAGCAGTTCTGGAAGTCCTCTTTTGGGAGTGTCTTTGGTTGTGCTGTTGTGACTGCCTCGATGTCCTGAATCAATTCAAAACATTTACCTTTCATGGTCATTTTGACTTTGGGGAAGAGCCAGACATAGCATGGTGCCAGATCCAGTGAATAAGGTGGATAAGGACACTTATTTTTCTATTTAACAGAAATTGCTGTATACCAAAAATGGTGTGTGACACGGAGCGTTGTCATGATGCAGGATGATTTACAGCACACTTTAAAACACACCTTCTCCCAACCATAGCTCACACCCAACTGACTGCACTGAACAAGCTGAGACTTGTCACACACTGTTACTAAGGTTGGACACACCGCTTCCTGGAATTGAAGATCCATGCCTTTCCGTTGGATGGCCTCTGCAGCGGCATTCCCTGTATTTTGTGACCACAATGGAAAGGCTCTGTGTCATACATCACTTCTGATATGGCAATTTCTGTCAAATAAAAACATTACAGTGTGTCCTTATCCACCTTATTCACCAGATCTGGCAATCTGGCACCACGCGACTTCTGGCTCTTCCCCAAAGTCAAAATGACCATGAAAGGTAAATGTTTTGAATCGATTCAGGGCATCGAGGCAGCCACAACAGCGCAAACTAAAGACACTCCCAAAAGAGGACTTCCAGAACTGCTTCAGAAAGTGGCAAGAACGGGGCCGGCTGAATGGCTCAGTTGGTTAAGAGTTTGCTCAACAGTGCAAGCTCTGAGCAACAGTGGTTCGAGTCCCGGCCTGAGCTGAGCAGCCGCTAAGCTGCCAACAGGTGGCAGGATGGCTCAGCTTTAAAAAAAAAAAAAAAACATTTCAAGAAAGTGGCAAGAACGATGGGACAAGTGTGTTTGAAACAAGGGAGAATATTCTGAGAGGGGGTTAAAGGCAATGTGTCTTTTACTGCAATAAATTTTTTTATTTAAACATTTACTGTATTTTTTATCATACCTTGTATATAACAAGAAACTTTACCAAGCTTGGAGAAATAAAGGAAACCATAGTCTCAGGGATTGAAGCCTATTTTCATACATCTAAAAATCATGAAAAAAGAATTTCTAGGCCCTCAGAAATCATTTCAGGCATTAAGACAAAGTAATCATCAATGTTGTTATTTAACAGTATTATTGAGATATAATCCATGTATAATTCATCTAAAGTGCATAATTTAATGATTTTGGGTATATTCACAGAATTGTGCAACCATCAGCACAATCAACTTTAAAACTTTTTCATTAACTCCAAAGGAAACCCTGTACCCTTTGGCAGTCACTCCCCATTTACCCCAACCCCACCCTTCTCCAGGCCTAGGCAACCATTAACGTACTTTTTGTCTCTATAAATTTGCCTATTCAGAACATTTCACATAAATGAAATTGTACAACATGTGGTCTTTTGTGGCTGGCATCTCTCAGTATAATATTTTCAAGGTTTAGGTAGAATTTGATTTTATTAAGTGAATTTCTTTAGCGAGAACTACATTTGGAATAGAAATATGTTTGGCTTGATATTTTCATGTTAGTTTACACGAAAGATGCAATTCTGAAATTTGCACAATAAATCAAAGTGTAACGTATCTACAGAAACTATCTATACAGAAATGGTGTATTCTTAGTAAACAGTAGCTAGAATTAACACAACAATGTTCACATAATTGGATTTGCAAATTTGAAAACTCAGTGTTGAGTAAAACTCCTTATACCAGTTACTCCCAAAGAAAATATAAAATGTAACCTGTCTCAGATTAAAGGTCACTAGCGATACACAATATTCACACGTACATCACGACCACTATGCCTTGAATCCCATCAGCAGGCACCAGTCTACGGACAGGACAGAACTGGACTAATACAACTGTTAAAATTTATCTTCATACCTGATTTTGGATTTTCTTGGTCTATTAGCTGTTTCCTCTTCTGCATCAAACAGTGCAACATCTTCAGTGTCATCATTACTGTCCTATCAAGAAAATTAAATATCCATGAAGCAAAATGAAATTCAGTGTGCATGCCTACTACATGCAAGGCAGCACACTACCAAAATGGAAGACAAGATTAAGACACAGTCACAGCCATCTGGAATTTATAATTATGGAAAGGGCATGTGCAGTTCCGTCACCCCACCCCCAATCATCTGGCAAAATCCCCACATGGTAATCCAGGTACCTGCTGTCTCCATCCCTCCCCAAACTGCTGAGAAAAACCACCAGGGTGCAGATGCTCCTGCAAAGTCAGAGAGAATGATGAGGGTCTTGGGGATAAACTCAAAGTTTTTGGCTCCTTCACAGAATTACCTCACTGCATCCTTGTTTCCCTGACCCTTTCTCACAATTCTTTCTCTTTTATCCAAAGCGAAACCAAGTATTTGTGCTCGGAATCACTTCTTTGCTTGCCTCCTTGGGGACTTATTCCATCAATTTTCCCTTTATTTACACCTACTTGCATCTTCAGAGCTTTCTACTGGATCTTTCTAATCAGCACATAAACTTCTTCAGGTCTCCTTTGTAGCACAGAAAAGACTTTTTAAAAACCCTAATCCTGAATCTCCCCTTCTATCTTCAACTTTTCTTCCCATAGCGTTCCTTCCTTCCATAACTTTAGACTTCTAAGAGTGGTTCACACCTCAACTCACTGCAATTCACCTTCAGCCTCAACCAGAGTGAATCTGTTTCTTTATCCCCTCACTAGGGCCAGCCCCTCACCAGCCTCCCTGCTTTCATCTCTAGTCTCACCCCAATTCTACTCCAGCCTCTCTTATCTACTAAGTAACCCTCCTAATATGGATATCCTACTATGTCACTCTCCTGCCCAAATTTTTCTTTGGTGCCCCTACATGTACAGGATAAAACCTAACTCTTCACACACAGCACAGGAGATCTCGCGATGTGATGCCCCCTACTTACTTTCCAACACTCCCTCCCACTGGATATTACGGCAATACTGCTACTACTGGACATGCTTTGAAAACACTATGGTCTCTCCCCTCCTTCTGCCTTTCACGTTGTCTCTACCCAGAAAGCTCTTCTCTTCCCTGTTCCCTACATAGATCACCATCAGGCAAACACCAAATCATCTTTCAAATTTCAGCTCAAATATTGACATAGCTCAAATTTCAGCTCAACTCCTGACACAGCTGAGAAACTTTCCTGGAATCCCCAGGCATACCATTTCCTGTTTGACAACACTTGAACAAATCTCCATTTGAACAATTATCTCAGGATATTCTTACTGCAAGTCTACTCCTACTCCATCCAGACTCTGAGCTACTAGAGGGCAAGGTCCGTCATTACACTGTAATAAATCCTAGTGTCCAGCCGAGCGCCAGGCCAGGCGATAGAGTATTTGTTGAAGGCATGAGTGAACACAAAGGAGGCAGTCACCTGTAATACGTGGCAGACTGTGATCAGTGCCAGGAGAAATGTAAGTGCAAACAGGAGCACAGGAAAGGAGGCGGCTGTGGAAAAGCTTCCTGAAGGAGCGTTTACCGGCTGGGTCTTGACAGCAAGCAGACCTCCTGCTCACTCTAGCACCTTAACTAGAGGCACAGGGATGAGAATGTATAAGGAATGGCCAAGGAGCCAACAGAGTAAGTGAAGCATGAAAGTGGTGTAGAAAATAAAGCTAAAAGGTAAAGGGATTCAGATCTGAGACCAGTGTTTCTCAACCTTGGCTGCAGGCTGAATTACTTACAGTGCTGTTAAAAAAACAAACAAACAAACAACAACAAAAAAATACCTGATACCTTGGTCCCACCCTGAGGTTCTGATGTAATTGGTCTGGGGTGTGGTCTGGGCATTTGAATTTTTTCAAGTTCTCTAGATAAAAATAATGTGCAGCCAAAACTGAGATCTACAATGATGCTACGGAATGAAAAGCTGAAGCTTTCATCTCTTCATCCCAATAGTTCACTCTCCATCCAGCAGCCAAAGTGACCTTTTCACATTAGATCATATTCCCCTACTTAAAACCCATAGCACTTTGGCTGAAAACCAGACTCCTTCTCATGCCATATCACAATCTGACCCCTGCCCACCTTGTCTCAGGCCATTCCCCTCCATTAACTGTGTTAGGCCCAATAATACCACCCCTCACTCCACCAAAGAAGTCCAGGTTCTAATCCCTGGATCTCGTGAATATGTAAATTTTCTTGGCAAAAAGAATTTTGTGCAAGTGATTAAATTAAGGAGCTTGAGACAGGGAGAGTATCCTGGATTATCCAGGTGGCTCCAATGATCTAATCACAATGGTCCTTATAAGAACATGGGAGGTGAGAGTCAGAGGTGATGAGACAATGAAAGTTGAGATGAGAGAGAGAGAAATTTGAAGGTGTTATGCTGCTGGCTTTGAAGACGGAGGAACTATGAGCCAAGGAATGCAGGCAGCCTCTAGAAGCTGGAAAAGGCAAGAACATTGACTCTCCCCTGGAGCCTCCAGAAGAAACACAGCCTACCTAGCCAACGCCTTGATTTTAGCCCCTGAAGACTCATTGTGGACTTCTAACCACAAGAACTTTCAGATAATAAATTTGTATTAGGCAACTAAGTTTATGACAACATGCTACAGCAGTGAAAGGAAACCTATACGGTCACTAAGTCCCTGCCAGACTGGTCTTCTTTTTAGTTCCTTAAACATGCCAAATTTGTGCCCACTTGTGGTTCATTCTATCTAGAACACTTTTCTCTTGCCCTGGTCTTTGAAAAACTGGCTTCTTCTCACTAATTTAATAAATACTGAGTGCCCACTATATGCCAGCCACTGTCTTAAGTGGTACAGCCAGAAACAGGAAAAAAGACAAATAGCTTTGCACTCTGGAATTGCATTTACTGAGATGGAGAAGAATGTGGGCAAAAAAGATTTCCGGGTGAAATCAGGGGCTTGGTTTTGGACACAAAGTTCAAGCTGCTAGTATTAAGAGCTTAAAAATTTTTTTTGAATGAGATGGGGAGCCATTAGTGTGTTCTGCGCATAGGACTGACACGTTCTGACTCATGTTAAAAGGAAAATTCTGGCTACTGTATTAATTTGAGAAGGTGTAAGGGGGCAAGGGAGAAAGATAAAGGCACAAAGCTGGTCAGGAGGCTAATCAAGTAAAGATGCCAAGTTTGGTCTAAGGTGGATGCAGTGGTGGAGGGAATGAAAAGTAGCCAGATTCCAAATACGTTTAAGGTACAACTGACAAGATTTGCTGGTAAATTAAACGTGGGGTAAGAGAAAAGGAGTAAAGCAAGACTTCAAAGTTTTTGTCCTTAGCAGCTAAAAGGATGAAGATGCCAAAGGCAGTGCTGGGCACCCCAATATTTAGAGGTCAGAAAGATGAAAATGAATAAGCAATGGGGGAAGAGGGGAGTGTGCTAAGGAGTGGGAGTTGAACCAGGAGAGGATGGTACCCTGGAAGCCAAGAGAGGAAAGTGTTTCCAGGAGGAGGATCCAATTAACTGTCAAACGCTGCTCACAAGATGAAAACTGAAAAGTGACCACTATATTTCTACAATAGGTCATCATCAGTGATCTCAATAAGAGCAGTTTCAGTATGGCAGGGGAAGGAGGGAAAAAGCCTGACCAGAATGGATAAAAGAGAGAATAGAGAATTAAGAGACAAGTGTGGGCAAGTCCCTTATGAAGCAAAGAATGGAGTGATAGCTGAAAGGGCATGTGGAGTGTAGTTTTTATTTAAGATAGGAGCAAGTAAAGCATGTTTATATGCTATGGTAACCAAGCTTTTAAAAAGTGGGGGAGGGGGAAATGATGCAAGAGAGAAGGGAGAATTGCTGGACCATTAATGCCTTCCGGCAGGCAATAAGGGACGGAAACCAGTGCACAAGAAGAGGGCATAGCCTGAGAATGGAGCACAGGCAGTTCAATCATAATAAAAGGGAGGCAGGCTATATGGGAATTATGGGCAAAGACGCAGATGGCAAGCGGTTTGAAAATTCTCTTCTGATGGCTTCCATTTTCTCAGTGAAACAAACTGAGATGGTAAGGAAGAAATGTGGACAGTTTGAGGAGAGGGAAGTTTCAGTAGTGGCCTAGGAGGGTGGGAGAGTGAGGGGACAATGGAAATGTGATGACTGCCTGGCAGTATGAAGGGCTCATCTGAGGTTCATGGTCACAAACTTAAAGTGGAAACAGTCAGTAGGGTTGTGTGTTTTTTTCCCAGTCTCCTTCAGCCTGGGTGCAGGTTGAGAAAGCCTAATTTAATCATCACTGGGTTTCGTTCACTCAAGTCACCTCCTCAGGGTGGTCTTTTCTGACCATAAATCCAAGGTTGTCCTAGTAACAGAGACTTACTATTACATCATCTTATCTTTGTTATCATTATCTGTAAATATCTTTAGTTATGTAACTTATGTCTTACCGCCCCATCTCCTTGACAAGCTCCCATCCCCAGCACCCTCCAATTCACCCAGCAATTCAGGGCAAGAAATATGTACTGTTCACAGCCCTATCCCAGAGCCTAGAACAGTGCCTGGACCATAGTAATCCCTCAATAAGAAAAAAGTACCTATGATAATCCAAGTGAAAGTACATTATAAACAGTAATTCTTTTAATAGGAAGATTAAATTATTCTTACTAATCTCTGGTTGTAAACTCGTGGACTGTAACTAACTCTATGGGCACAGATGCGGTCATCGATATGGACCAGCCATTAACCACCAACAATTCAACGTTACTTTGGCAACGGAAACTTGAACACAAAGCCCTGATGGTGTCTCCTATTACGACAGCATCGCAGCGCACCCCTAGGGGTCAGGCTTCTCCCCCTCACACTCGCCTGTCCACGAATGGTTGAGAAAGACCACTGCAACTTCACACGAGAGCGTTTCTGCAGCCCGGCACCGGAGACATAAAGCGTTCTGCGTTTGTTGACAATGAGCTTTTCCACACCCGGAAGCTGTTCCTCCTCAGCGCAGCCGGGGTCACCCTCCACCGGAGCGCCCAGCTGCGCCCCCGGACCAAGCTCCGAGGTCCTCCGTCTCCCGTCCCTGCCGCCTTCCCCTCTCCTCCTCGGACTCAGACAGCAAGCCGGAGAGCAGACACAACGGCCCCGGGACGCTCGACTCTCGCCCACCCATTCTCCAAGCCAAGCCCCCAACCCTCAGCCCGCATCACAGCCCCTTACCTGCTGCAACATGGCGGCTCTGCGCCAGCCCCACTTCCGGAAATCACGTCAACGCGGCAGCCGCCGGGCGGGGACTGGAACTGACGCAGCCTGGTCACCAAAGGCCAGAAGGAGTCAAAGTACTAGCCCCAGCTTGTCCCCACTTCCGCTTCCAGGCGCCCTGAGGGAGGAGCAAGTGCCGGCGATCGTGCCAGTGGGGCGAGATCCCGGACTGAACGAGAGAGTGGGCGGGGCGATGGCGGGGCGGGATGAGTAGGGGCCCTGCGAGTGCGTAGTCGCGGCTCTCCGGGTGGGCGGGCTGGGGCGGAGCGAGAAAGTGGGCTGGGCGTCCAGGGAGCAGAGCTGGATGCAAGGACTAGGGCGGGAACTGGTCCAAGCGGGAGCGAAATACTAGCTGGGAAAGGAGGCCAGCGCTGCCGTTGGCTTTAGGTTACAAGCTTCGAGGTTTGTCACGTAGAGATATTGTTGCTACCTAAGAAGTGTCATTCCCACCAGCATCGATGTCCTGAAGGCGGGGTTGGGGAAGAGGCTTTATTCCATAGTTGCATTTTGTTTGTCTTACAGCATGTTTTCCTGTATAATATTATATTTGTACCTTAAGTTTTAGGAGCAATTGAAAAACATTAACATGCTCCTTCGAAGGGGTAAAAAGTTATTAAGAAGAACAAACCAGGAGCACTCGAGTAAACAAAAGAGGGTTAATTATGGGAAGAAAACAGACGCTGGGAAACAAGAAGGAACAGAAGGTGAGAATGTGGACGCTGGAGTTTGAGCTTCTGGGTTTGAGCCCTGGCTCTCCACTTACCAGTTATCTAACGAACTTTTATGTAAGTCTTTCCTCAGTTGTAAAATGGGGATGATAATACAATAGTATCATACAGGGTAAGTACCTGTAAATAGGAAATGGAATTCTTATTACTATTTATTACTTATTATTGCTACGCTAATAATGTGATCTTGTCCATATGAAGGACCTGAAATTCAGGGTCATCTTTGAAACTGGTTATAACAGCATCCTATCTGCAGGCCTAGTCAAACTACTGTGGAAGGTTCACGGAATAATGTGTATTGGCACATTTCCTTAATCGAGGGGATTCTATTAAAATCACTATTTTTACATGCTATTTACCAATGCTACCTTAAACCTAATATACTAATAATGAAAAAAAAACTCAAAGAAGGGAAAGCTTGGCAAACAATTGTATTCCTGCACTTGGAAGTGAAAAGCAGAGGCTGTGAACAGGTGGCCTTTGCATCTAGACTGCCCATGCATGTTTTGGTGGCCCATCCAGTGTATGGGTTGTACGGTTTTGTGGGGTTGGGTTTTTGTTTTGTTTTACATTTTATTTGAATTCACTGCCATCTGTGGAGGAAACTCAGTTCATCTTGTGTAGGAAAATAAAACCAGTTTTTCCTTACTGTGTTTCTCTCCTATGTGTCTTTACTACTCACATAAAACACTTCACTTCTGGTCACCAAATGTGTGGAGGTTTTTCTCCACACCAAGCAATTCTCTGCGACAGCGACACCAGCTGTGTGTCCTACAATTTCAATCTGTTACTATCCACCTGGAGATGGGATCAGATCACACAGGTTAAGGGCTCAGTCCTACAAGACACACACACACACACACACACACACACACACACACACACACACACACTCACACACACACACACACACACACACACACACTGTCAGGTGCCAGTCTCAAGATCAGGTTATCTGTCTATCACCCATGCTTCTGACCATCCAGCTATAGATTGGAGGTCCCAATGACCCCCCTCCTTGGGTTTAATTAATTTGCTTGAGCAGCTTACAGAACTCAGGGAAATACTTATACTTACCAGTTTATTGAAGGCTATGATAAAGGACACAAATGAACAGGCAGATAAAGAGGTACACATAGGGTGAGATGTGGGAGGGTCCTGAGCACAGGAGCTTCTGTCCTCATGGAGTTGGGCTATATCACCCTCACAGTATGTGGAGGTGTTCACCAACCTGGAAGCTCTTGGAACCCCCTACTATCGGGGTTTTTGTGGCGCTTCCTTACACAGGTATGATCAATCATTAATTCCATCTCCAGCTCCTCTTTCCTCTCTAAAGAAGTGGAGAGTTGGACTGAAAATTCCAAGCTTCTAATCATGGCTTGGTCTTTCTGATGACCAGCCCTCACCCAGGGGCCACCCAGAGTCACCTCGTTAGGATAAGGAATGCTCTTAGTGCTCTTATCACTCAGTAATTTACAAGGGTTTCAGGAGCTCTGTGCCAGGAACCAGGGGCAGAGGCCAATATATATTTCTTATTCTCTCACAGCATCCAAGGCTGTGAGAGCTCTCCCCTTTGCATGGGGCTTGAGCTCTCCAATGGGCCATATCCCTCATGGTGGGCTGCACTCTTCTAAATTACCTGCCTGGACCCTGATACCATCTACAGAAGGTGTAAGTACAAACCTCACCACACTCGATATAAGTGTTTAATTCTCTTCCATAGCAGTTAGCCCTGATAAGGAAACGAACTCATAGTGTTCTCAAATATAAAAAGTCAAACCCACTGAGGGCTTCTCCTTTTAGTTTCTTAACCGAACTCACTGAGCTTCATCAGGCTTCCAAGCAAAAATACCAAGGAACTCCAATGCATTATTCTGATACGATCCCATCAGTTCATTTGCTGCAAAAATGATATCACTAACTTGGTAGTGATGAGTGGTATTTAATTTCCAGTAATCACTTCTCCATCTCCCATCCCCTATCCATGAAGTTGGGCTTCCATAAGTCTCATTGAATGGTTTTCAGTGGGAATACAAATGCCAATCTCTCCCACCCTCCCTCTGTTTTCTTACTTTGTAATATCAGTTCTTTGGCTTATAGAGAGATAATTAAGAATCCCCACATTAATTGCCAGGGAACAATAAAAATAAATAATAAATAAAAATAAAAGGCCAAACACCAACATCCACTTGGCTTTCTGTTTATTGTAAGACACTGTAATTTCCCAAGGCTGGCTCAGATAAATATGTTTGGACCAAGTTCAGGGGCTGCCGTTTTCCCTTGTTTCATGAAATTATCTATAGGCAGGCCTTTGATCTTCCTGATCCATGCAGCTTTGCTGGCTTTTTCTGGATTGACCCCTCCCAGGAACTTTCTGGCCTGATATTCTTTCATCTTGGCTTGTCCATACTCTTTCTCCTCCTTCACAGTCAACAACATGAATTCAGTGTTCAATCTAAAAGGATTGAGAGCCTTGTGGAAGCAAGGTGGTTCTTCCTTGACAGACTGGGTTGTCACGCCCACTGGCGGAGCCAGCATGCGGTTCGGTTTAATGGTGTGCATGCTGGTTAAGGGTCTGAAGCTACGCACTGCCCCATCAGTTGAACTGGTTGCTCTGTCTTTACCCTTTAAGCTGCCAGAGAACCTGGAGCAGATAATCATAGGCTGGGGTATGGTGGACTGGACTCGAGGACTTTGCAAAGAGTTCTTCAAGTTGGGCTGCAGCTTCTGAATTTCAAGGGGAATATTGATTTGTTTCACATCTATGGGAGGGTTGCTGATTCTCAACTGATCGACTGCACGTTGGACTGCTTTTCCTTTGAAATTCAGGACCTTCCTTGGGTGTAAAATTGAAGGTCTCCAGACATCAGTGAGTTGGGTCTGGGGCCTACGGGGATAGGCAAACTCTCCTGAATTATGGGCTTGCTGCAAGGCATTAACAGTAAGGAGAAACCGGTCTGGCGACATAGGGATTTGCCAGGACTTTTTCTTTGAGTAGTAACTGGTCAAGTCTCCAAGAGTTTCCAGCTGTCCTTGTTTTTGTACTTTTGCCACATCATCTGGTTTTTCAAAAAAGAAAGAAAGAAATCAACAAATCAGTGTTCCATGAAAAACATTAAGTACTTATGCATGAAAATTAAATCCACTAACTGCTATGCAAACTGAGGTCTTTGTTACCCAATGGACATGCCATCATGTGGGCAAAAATCATCTGTGATACCAGAAATTATGAAATATTCAACACAACTTTTTAACAAATATGCTAGTACTGATGTGCAAGTGTGTATTAAACTATAGATATGCATATTTTGGAGGGAACATATGTAATCTCAATGTCCCACACATTTTTGAAAACTTCATACCTCATTTATGATTCACACAAAATAGGCCTTATAAATTTATAGTAACGTACCTTTATTTTTAAACAAAAATTGTATCACAAAATTTGATCACCTTATTAATCAAATTCGACTCCAAGTGATTTTTGGACATTTCCCAAAATCAAAACTACCTTCAAAAAAATATTGGGTCGTTGGGAAAGTCATGATGCATTTTTGCATTGAAAAACATAGAAAAATATGTCATGACTTTCCCAATGACCCAATATGTCACCCCTGGGAAATGCAAAATATCACAGCATGAGCAAAAGATAATTCCTGAACTGGAGTTCCCAAAATGTTCTGAACTACAACAGCGGGTCCAAAAGCTGCTGACAAGGACCAGAGATTCATTCTGTCACACTACGTTATGGTCAAGATCTCCACGGTGCCGAAGACCTTGAGTTAACAAGGATAACTTCATACAAGGTCTGACAATTAAGTTCCCGAACTTGTTGCAACGATTAATTAGGAATTATTCATTATGAATTTGTACCAACTGAGCAAATAGTTAACCAAGTTTACTATTTGGAAGTGCTGAAAAGGCTGCATGAAAAAGTTAGACGACCTGAACTTTTCGCCAACAATTCATGGCTCTTGCATCACAACAATGCACCAGCTCACATGGCACTGTCTATGAGGGAGTTTTTAGCCAGTAACCAAATAACAGTATTGGAACACCCTCCCTACTCACCTGATCTGGCCCCTAATGATTTCTTTCTTTACCCGAAGATAAAGGAAATATTGAAAGGAAGACATTTTGATGACATTCAG